TAAAAGCCGTATCTTCACTTTAAAGACATACAAAGATGAAAAATGTTAGATTTAAAATAGGTAAGGGCAGGAGCAGAGCAAGCAGGTCAGGGCGCTGCCCTTGCAATGTCATCCCACATCATCAACCATGAGTCCCAGCTGCTCTACTCAGCTTCCTGCTGAAGTGTGTGAGAAAGCACCGCCAACACACAGACACACGCACGCACGCACACACACACACACACACACACGCACGCACACACACTCACACACACAGTCAGTCACACACACACACACACACACACACACACACACACACACACACACACACACATACACACACACACACGAAACAGCCATGCTAATAATCACTTCAGGAAGCCCTGTGCAGCCCTCTTTGATCACACCCTGAAGCCTCAGACCCAACAGTAACAACTGCCTGACTTGTGCATTGAACATATTCCAAAGTGTCTTCTGAGTTTAACTCCTAAATTACATCTTGCTTAGCTTTGCATTTTCTGAACGTTATCTGAATGGTATTTATACAAATGATCGCTTGTTTTCCTAAATGAGGGCTCTTTGCTTCATTTGTGATGATTTCTCTGGCTCCGTATTTTCTGTGTTCTATAGCACGATGTGTTATGTAGAATTTACCTTTTACACAGGTGGACAATGTGTGACATTTTCATCCTTCCTATTCTGGTAGACAGTGCCGCTCTGCACCACTTCCCACATGTCTAATGGTGCATGGGGTATCCATCTCTGCAAGGGGTGGGACTGCCGTCTTGATTTGCACATCTTCAACTTTACAGATGTTTGCAGAGTCCAGTCTCATGTGAGCAGTGTAATTTGTACTTTCCCCAACTAAATGGGAAGGCTCCTTAAATTCAACGTCATCTCAACAGTTGGTAAGCTCAAAAAGGACAATTAACACTGAAAATAAATCTCGGCTCATTGACCACACATATTCACTCCACAATGACCCTAACAGGAAGAACTTGTGCTATTGGTGTTTAAAGCAAATTTGCTCTATCCAAAAACTGGAAACAAGTCTGTAACCATAAAACAGAAGCACGCATTCTCAAATTAATTCTGTGTTTACAAACTAGTCGCTCTGCTCTTACAAGGAAACTCCTCCTGTAATAATTTGACAAAATATTTGTGTCAAACTGCTGTATTTTGTCAAGGCGGGAAACATCTAGTCTAAACAATTAATTAAAAGTCATTAATGATAACTCCAAGATTTAATAAGTCACTGTGAAAAAGAAGAAGAGGAGGAGGAAGAAGAAACAGATGAAACTTAACGGGAAAATTTGCAAAATCCCATCACTCAGGAGATAACACTGCTTTGTGGAACCTGACTTGGGAACTTCACTGTAAACTGCTCAACTCCTCGGCTGTCACTTCAATGACTCTACATCGTGCAGTCAGTAGAGCACAGGGAGGCCTACCATTTATGAAGGACTTAAGACTCAATACAGATCTCCTCCACTTAACACACTGAGTTCCCTTCATATTGTATGTGACAGTATGGATGCTGAAACTCATTGTACCACCAGTGGATGTATTTCTAATTTACTCATCCATAGACCATATGGTTACTATTAGGTGAGAAAATTCCTTAGCAAAACATTGAAATCTTTGACTCATACATTATTTCAGAAATAAAAGTTTAGCTTGTTTTTAATCAGACACGATCATTCTTATTCATTCTCTCTCACTCACTCCCACTTTTTCCAAAGATAGTATCTACATATAAGCCTAAGATTTGTAATTTGAGTTGATTAGGGCTAATGAAAGTTCAGATCCAGTAAAACTTTCCTAGAGCAGTTATGCTTCTACAATTACATAATCCACTTACTGTACCACACACTCACACTCCTTGCACAGCAGGCCCCAGCTGTCAGCCATGACCCAGGTTGTCTTGTACCTAGGTGAGTGTTATACACCCGGGAGAAAAGCAGCCAATAGCTGGTGGACATCCTGGGCCTGGCTAATGCCAAATTTGTCTTAACTACACCAGTGTGCCAGCATGATTGCCTATTCTATTTATTTTATTTTATTTTAAACATATGTGGTTGAATCTGGAACCACAGATCCCCAGCCCCAACTCAGGCCTACCTGTGCGAACATCACTTGGTGCTGCAGGTCCCCAGTCTGGCTTGGGCTGGGTTGTGTGAATGCCATTTGGTGCTGGGTGCCCTGTGCGTTGCCAGGTACAGAGATTCTGGATTGACTAGGGAAAGGGGCAAAGGACTATGAGGGAGGGAGGACCACTGAGGGAGCACGTTGCAGGTGAGGAATGACTTCTGAGGGACTTCCATTGACACGGCCACTGTACTTGCTGACCGTGGAATGCATGTGTCAGAACTAGGCCTTCTCAGTGACTCAGATGGCGCAGTGGACAGCATACCCAGATGTGCGCTGAGGATATGGCAGTCCATTTGGGGCCTGAAGAGGACATCAGCTACAGAACAGATGGTAGAGGTCAAAACTAATTTGTCTACTATCCCAAGCCAGACACTAACATCAAATATCTAGGTGAATGAAGACTCTGAGGTGGACTATGTCAGCCAATAAACCTTGGAAGGACTGCATCATCCCTGGAGTGCTGAGATCAACAGCATTTCAGAACTATCGAAACCACTGAGCAGAACCCTCAGAGCATGCTTCACACCAGGGACCCCAGCATGACAGCAGTACTGGGTGCTGAAGCGACTGGGAGGCTGGGTTTGACTTCTCCCATTATCTTCCTCCTTCCTCCAGACACAGGAAGAAGAAAAAAGAAAATTTATAAACAACGGTCTTGCCAACTTTCCCTTATTAACCCTCAAACTTTCCCACTCAAACTGTATAAACATCATAAAGAATAAAATAGTACTATTGAAAAAAAAAACCAGCAGCAGAAATCCTGAAGACCATACCTCTATCACTTCTCCAAAGATTAAACAAAAAGTCATATTCCAGCAATGGCTGCTCCATACAGGAGAATGTGCTACATCTGGGTAGACAAAGACCTCATAACAGACCAAGGAGAAGCACCGTCCACAGAGCTGTTAAGGCCACATTCTGAGCAAGAGGCTAGAAGCTCCTTTGCCAGCAGCTTCTGCTGGAAAATATCCTCTCATCTCACCAGACCCTTCCCAGACAATCCTCTATTTATCTAAGCATCATCACTACTCAGGCAGGATCCATAAAAATTGTCCAGAATCATTGCATATGTCGCTGCGTGCCTTGAATGTCTGACCTCGTCTTTCTCAGCGGCAGATGTTGTTTTTCATCAACAGCGCAAGCTCTGATTGGCCTCCATGACTGTACTTACTCTTGGTTTGCCTCATTAAATCAACTCCACTTAAATTATTGTTACAACAGGGTATATCTGCCCAAGAAAATACGGAATACATGGCTGTTTTAGATGTTTACCCATGTTTTACAGACTCAGACTCCCTTCAGGTGATCATATTTGCTCTCCCTATACCAGCTGGCTAATTTCTTATTAAGCATGTTGTAGATAGTCAAGAAACCTCAGAGTTGTAGGACCTTCATATTAGTAAAATCCTCTTCATTAGCCCTGCAAGATCACCGCAAGAATTACCTTTGTACATATTTTAATCAACTCCTTAGAAATCCATCATTTGGAAATGGGTTGTATATGAAGGGGATGATGGAGCAACAGATTAAGGCAATCGGAACACCTGTGTCCCATATCTGTGCGGCTTGTTCAAGTCCTAGTCACTTCACTTTCAATACACATCCATGCTGCTGTGCTTTCTAAAAGCAACACATGATGGCTCAAGCTCTCGGGTTACTGCCACCAACAAGATGGAGCCCTGGGCTTTTGGCATTAGCTTGACCCTAATGCATACATTGGGACTGAGTCTGTAGCTTAAAGATCTCCCTATGTCTATCTGTCTTAACATGAAGAAATTAAAGAAAATACCAAAAAAGCTTATAAACAGTATTAAAGAAAAACATTTTAAAGTATCCATGATCGTTATGCTAAGATACAAACAGTATGATCCATCTTGGAAAAAAGAAAACTTTATAGAAGGTAATATCCACACTGATGAAAAAAGTATTGTTGACACTATGGCACAGTCCTGTAATAAAACAGTACTATTTTACCATAATCTTTGTACAAACATGACCTTCTCGGAGTGACATAATGCTAAAATCCTGCTCTGTATTGCTTCCATGTTACTTCTCTCAGTAATCATCTTTCGGTTTATCTGTAGGACATCCCTCATGTCTGGGCAGCCGCATCTCCTAAGAGAAGTTTAATGTCAAGGAACAGCTTAAACAGTGGCAGAGGATCCTCCATGCAGGAAATATCCAGTGTGTAAAGAGAGCAGAGAAGGATCCCTTGACTTCATGGTTTAGAGACCTTATCCCCAAGCAAAGGCCCCAAAGTGGATTAGTGATTTATCTTTCTCATAAGCCCAACATAATATATGGCATGGAATTACAAAGAGAATGGATAACCAAGATTTTTCTGCCAGACTCTATGCTAGGTATCTATTTGCATCCCCTTAATCCATTCGCACAGGTGTCAACAAAGGCTTCTTTCTTGACTGCCTTGACAGCACAGGAGAAAGAAGAAGAAATTCTGGGTGCTGCTGCGGTGACCGACTCATCTCCACCTGCAGACTGTCACCTGGACCTTTCACGGATCATCATCTGTGAGTGGATTGTCCCAGATGGGTACAGCATTCTTAAGAGCATCAGAAACGCCAAGTGTCAAAGGTGCAAGACATCTACCTTTCCTGATTAAAATTTGCTGTTAGGCTGATGAATATGGATATTACTTTCCAAATGCAGCTGCTTGGAATACTACCTTTGCACATATGAAGGCAGCAAAACAAAGCAGAATTAAGTTTTTACCTTTGGGTGACTCCTGTAAGAACAAGGAGCCCTATAAAAATTAGTTTTTACCTTTTTCTTCTTTCTTTTCTAAGCAAAATATTTGTTTCAATAGCAGAGTTAAAGAAAGCCAATTAGAAAAACAACACGTGTTCAATTACCTTAGAGACTCGGTTTGCAACTTCTCGGCCCACGGTCAGCCCCTGGACGAAAGTCCGTGCTGCGATGAAGGCACGAGTCACTTGGATTTTCAGCTTCCGGGGCACGTCGCCGAACGGCTTCAGCTGGTCCGTGTACTTGCTCACACATTCCAGGTAGTCCTCGCTGAAGTGATACTGAGGGTTTATCAGCTGAAACATGCGTTCCAGCAGCCGGGCCCAGAAGTCGTTGAGCATCTCCTCCAGATTCACATTGCCCCCGGTGTAGTATCTCTTCAGCTCTGTGAACAGGTCCTGGAACACTTCTGAATTCTGCATGTACAGCATTCCATAGGTCCGTACAAACATATCATTGAGCGACTTTTCTGCGTTCTCCAGGAGTTCTCGGAAAAATTCTGCAAACAAAAGCCAGTCATAAATTAGTAACATCTAGAAAATCTAGAAAGCCTGAAATACCGATTGACCTGAAATGCAACTGCTTTTCTTTAATTTGAATTTCTTATTGCTTTTTTTTTTCTTTATATCTGAAACACACACACATACACACACTGGGTAAAGGGGTAGAAAAGAGAGACATTTTCCATCAACTTCTTCCCTCTCTAAATGCCCACAGAAAGGGGGCTAGAGCAACCTCAGCTCAGGAACCCAATGGTCAAATTGAATATCCCACATAGGCGGTAGGGAGTTAAGAATTTTAACCATCACCTGCTGCCTCCCAGGGTCCCCCAACTGTGTGAAACTGGAGCAGAGTTGGGTATCAAACTCGAGGATCTGTGCAGTGACATAGCAGGTGATACTACGGTTTATGTTGCTGGTATCACAAATGGGTATGGGTTCAAGGTAAACTGATCCACATCCAAACGAGCTCCCTGCCAATGTACCTGGGAAAGCTGAAGCCCCTCCAAGTTCTTGGGCCCCTGCACCTGTATAAGAGACTGTGGTGAAGCACCAGGCTGTTGCCTAGCCCAGCCATGGCTGCTGTGGTCAAGTACAGAGTGAACCAGTGGATAAAAGATATTTCTCTCTCTCTCTCTCTGTGCAATATTAATGTTCAAATAAAGAGATAAATCTTGCAAAAGTAAAAAAAAGTAATCATGTTCAGGGTCCTCAGATATACTTGACAAGTGTTCCAAACAATGTCTTAAGTAATGCACTAAATGTTTCACAATTGCTATGAATGGGCATTTTCATACCAAAAAAGAATCTTCTAATTAAAGTATAAAGGGCAATGAAAGCAATATTTTAAATGAAATTTAAGATTCACCTATGATCTCTGATCTAAGTCAGAGAATAAAGGATGCTATGTTTCTCATGTTAAACATCTGTTAATATTAGGGGCTGATTATTTAATATACATTCAAAATAACTCAGTTAAAAAAACTGAATTAAAAAAGTGTCATATATTGATAAATTTCAGAATATCTTATGTTTGATATGCATTTAAATTAGGTTGCAAATTTGCACAAGGTATTATCAATAACATAGTAGCAAATGCATATTGGCAAATACATTTGTCTCATCTTGTTTATAAATTTGTCATAATATTAAATCAGTTTAAATTCTCTGTAGTGGTCAATGAATGAGTGCTCAAATTAATGCATTCAGGTGCTTTCTAGTTTCTATATAGCAATCAATTAGCAATGTTCAGAGATTCACTAAGCAATTAATGCCATATAATATGAAAGCTGTAATGAACACACGTTGGGGGGTCATAATGAGACAGCCATGAAGTAGCTCTGGTTATTGTTATAAATATGAATGATCATATGTAGAAAGTGAGAAAGTGTTGCAAACTGAGCTTTATGGTTACATGAAAAAGCATATACCAGAAAACAAACCTTCGTGTCCTGCGATGACACTTGAGTTAGTCTCATCAACCTTACTGGTTCTCATGGTATCCCCTCCCAGAAACTCTTCATGCAGAGGCCATCTATGTGCTTACAGAAACGGGCAGGGAAACACAGCATGAGCTTTTATCCCATCTGGGGAATGCAAGGTGAGGTGAGGAAAGGCTAAGGATAGAACATGCTTTGGAGTTGGTGTATCGAGTCTCCAACAACAGAGTGGAGCTTCTGCACCTCTCCAGGGCTCCCTTTTCTGCCGAGAAACATGTTCTTGCTCAGAAACGCAAAGGCAAAGAAAGTCTTGGATACTTTGAGAACTCTAAGTAGGAATTAAACAAACAAAACAAACTCTTTTTTCTGGAAAGCTGCGATAGGGTCTTTCCTCAAAACAGAATGGAAAATGTAATGAACCCTGTGGGTTCCAGGGAGGCTGCTTGGTGCTAGGTCCACTGATGGCTGGAGAAGCCCTTGTTTCAGCCACCTGGGTTCTGTTTAGAAAAGAATTTCATAAGATGTATCTACAATAATGACAACCATTTTATATTTGTTTTCAGATAAAAGCTAACAAAAATGCTTAAGAGGCTTCTGTGTATTTGCTTCCTTCCTTATGATCAAATAACGCTTTTTTTAAAGACAGAAATTCTGCTGCTGTATTGTCAGTTCGAAAGTCTAGATTATCTAAAAGCCATGGTTTATATATCCTGCATGATTCTGTTCAAATCCTAAAAATATAGTTTTAGTTTTTGCTAATGTAAAGTGAGTTTAAATGGTACTAAACCCTAATCTTTAATTATATTGTATGGTAAGCCTTGAATCAAACAGGGTAACATTTTCAAAACTGCTTAAGATTAAGTTATCAAAAATTTTATCTAAGCTGTATGTTGATATTATCTAAGATTTTATTAAAATCCAGAACTTATGTTTTCTAGAAATACTACCGTTTGTCCTAAAAATAGAATCCATACTGACTTTTAAATATCAATGTCAATGTGTTAAAGTGCATTAAATCTTGGCCTTTTTGTCCTAAATCCAAGAGTGAAAACAGGTTGGCCTTGATGATATAAAAATGGGATCAAGTGTTTTATAGATTGCAAAAGAAAGCAGAAAAGCATGAGAAGATCACTCAATTGAAAAATGCTAATATAATGAAACTAGAAAGTAGACTTTGATCATGAAATCTGGGCAGGCTATTCATTTATCTTCTTTTGAGGTCAATTATTTTGTTGGATTGAGGAATTAAAACTTAATTTATTGAATATAAAGAACTGTCTTTAACAATGAATAGTCAGTAATTAAAAGTGTGGCCTGGATTGGCAAAGAACTGAGAGAGAGAGAGAGAGAGAGAGAGAGAGAGAGAAAGAGAGAGAGAGAGAGAGAGAGAGAGAGAAAGGCAGAAAGACCCATTTGGTCCTCAATTCTCCTAAGACTAGAGCCACAAGTGTTTGTGTCAAGAGATGAATGTTGACTTTTCCTCTTGCTGAAGGTAGCATTCCTTGGGCTTTTTCCTTCCTGACAAAGACATTTTGATAGATGGGGCTTTTGTGTACCTTGGTGGTGAACAGTGAAAATTAGCCCGTGCACCACAGGAGGATTTTCTTGCATTTAGTGTTCATGCTTGAATATAGAAACCAAACTAGCATATTTATAAATGAATATGGCTCAAGAACACTTCATTACCTCCAAGCTTTTGTCGAAGGGTGCACCACTGTTTCCAAAGCCTGCTATTGGTTTCTCTAGTTCTCAAAAGCTGAGTTATTACCACTTATTCAAGTTATTATATGGTTTACTGGTTTTATAACAAAAGTTAATATTTGTTATTGAAACACACTAATGTCCCAGGCAATTATGACAAATGCCGCTACCCCAGGGTGCATTGATCTTGCACCTCCTGAGGAATGGGGGTGCAGGGAACTGAGGCAAAACTAATGTCCTCCAAAATTAAGTACACTCGTTTGATTTCCCAAAGGTCCACGGACTTCCAGCTTTTGAAGGTTAACTCTGAACAAAATACTTGATGAAAATGGCTTCTCTGCAACCAGAGTAGAAATTTAGATGGCCGTTATCTGAGTCATCTTGCTGGTGAAGCATTATTTCCAAATAATAACATTCGAGTGAACAAAATGCAAAAAAAAATATGCAATGTCAGAGAAAGTATTCTAACTCTAACCTTTTGTTTAATCAGAGGGGGCAAAGCTCACATTGAATAAGGCTTGGAGCCAGCAAAAATCCTCATCTGCAAAAAACAGCTTGGCTGAAAGAAATGCTATTTGATTTTTTTTTCTTCTCCCATCACAAAATATACATCAAAGGTGGTTGCTTAGGGCTCAGTTACACTTCGAAGGTGCACAAAAGAAGTTTTCCAGCCAGCATTAGCCTCTGGGAGGATTTTATTCATCTAGAGGGGAGATCTCAATGCAAACATCTGTTTGCTGCGGGGCAGACTGCCTCAATTGGGAGAAGAGCCTTGTAGATAAAAACCACCACTGTTCCAAAAGCAAGAAAAATGGCTGTGCGATGCTGCCTGATCATTTGGCAAGACCTCTGAAGGCACAAAACTTGCTTCCTAGGAGCCAAGAGGTGCCCTAAGGACATCGAGACTTCAAATGAAGCCTCAAATGAATGAATTGAAATGTAAGATGGGACACAGGTCCAGAGGGGCTAACAAATAGGAGTGGAAAGATGAGGGGAGCCTTCGAGGAACTACAGTCTACACCTAAAACAGCAAGAGCCTTTCCTACTCAAGCCAGATACAATGTCTTATTACTACTATAGGGAATAGGTACTCTGAGATGCTCTGAGTACCACGTAGCTTCTTCATTTCTTATTCTATCCTCATTTTGTGCCTAACACTCTTTGCTGAAAACTCATTCGAATTCAGGGTTTCAGGGGTGGTGATGTGGCTCAGTGGATCGAACCAGGACATACGACACTGTCATTGAGGCTGCTGGCTTCTGTCTGACCCAGCTTTTGTAGCGATTTGGAAGAATGTAACCATTCTTGCAACCAGTGGATGGAAGAAGGCTTGCACTCACTCTCTTTTTCTAACTTTGCCTTTCCGATAAATAACTTTTTATAAAAATGAACGTTTCAGGGTGGCGGAGTAAATATTTGTAATTACACAATGAAGTCAGTGAAATGCTTTGGCTACCACCAGTTAGAGCAAGTTTCAGCCAGACACAATTACAGATAAGGTATGTCCTACTGTGGGGTTACTAAATTTACTTCCCCAAACACATACATATAGTGTGTGTTTGTACAGCTCACCTAAAGTTTTTTTTTTAATTGTCTCTAGCTGAAAGCATACTAGATCAGTCTGGTCAGCCCAGTCAGGATTTGGGCAAAGAACACCACTGAGAAGAGGCTCATATGGAAGAGGAAATAGTTCTGAAAGCTGACATATCCTTTAAGGGCTGAGATACAGAGACACTCAATAAAGTTGCCACCCTGCTGTGCCCTGATGTTTTCATGGTTGGGTTGGAGTGTTCTCCACATTTCATATATAACTTCGACATCGGAACCTTCATCTTTGGAGCTTTGTCTCCTGTTAGAAG